TATCCATCACGGAGCTGCTAAAATCTTGGGCTTTGTGTAAGTTCCTGGTGCAGGCTTTGACACACAAGGGGCCCTCCATGGGGGTCTGCTGGTGACGTTGGGGGTGAACTTGATGTTGGCAAGATGTAATGAGTAGGGAGATTCGCACTATGGAAGATGTTTCAGGAAGGCATCCTTGTTGCTCGACCAGAGGCCCCTGGCCACATGTCAACATCTTCAACGTGGGAGAAACGCAGTGTCTCCTTCAGAGGCTGGGGGAGGGTGGACTGAATTCACATAAGGTAGTGTGAACAGTGTGTAGTGCATGGGAAGCACTCAGTAAGTGTTAACAGCTGCCACAACTTGGGAGATCCCAGTTGAGGGCTGCCCTGGGGAGGGTCCCCTCAACTGCCGGCTTGGCGACAGAGCGGGGACAGACGTGATCTGGCTCTCCAGGCTCGCTCTCCACTCATCTCTGCTGTTCTCCAACTCCCCCGTTGGAACAGGTGCGGCCAGACGGTATGCCCGCCAGTTCCCTCCTGATTACAGAATTAATGCGAAGATGTGGTCATGGCATTAGTCATCGCCAAACTCCCCCGTTGGGATGGGAGGTCATCTATGTCCCCCAGAGGCTCTGGAATGGGCTCTCAGGGATGACTGCTCGTGAGCACGCGCTGGGGGCTTGTCAGATCTGCATCTGCTGCTCTGTCTGAGAAGCCCTGGTTGTTTCTGGAATGCGACGTGTGGCTTGGAGGGAGAAAGTTGCTGTGGGAAGCAGTCCCAGGTTCCCTGGTGGGACTGGAAATTCTGCCTCAAGCCCTGGAATTTTGACTTCCTGTTTGGCCTGGCTTTGTTCCCCCACATATTTGGCTCTGGCACATCCTCTCCCTCCCCCTCTCGGGATCCGTTTCCTCATCTGTAAAATGAGGGGTTTGCACTAGATCCTATCGAAGGTTCCTTTAAGCTTGAAAAAGCTATGATTTGCCTCCCACCCCCTCACTGTTACTTCAGGCCTCTTGACTGACAGAAGGAAGGTGGGAAGGAAACGGGAGGAACCAGAGGAGCCGAGCGGTGTCTACCGCACAGGCTTTTCCAGCCCCCAAAATCCGAGGCGCTGAGGCTAGGAAACCCTGTGTCAGGGGAGGGGAGGCAGAGGAGGAAAAAGCAAAGGTGTCATAGTAAGTGCCCTAGAGATGACAAGGGGTTAGACAAATAAAGGATGATAAAAGGGCAAATCCAGGGAGAAAAAAACACACTCAGGGGAAAGTTTTATCAGGAGGGACAGCGAGAGCTTCTAGGATGGGAAGAATGTATTTGCACAGTGATCACAACTCGGGTTTTGGGAGTAGGCTGCCGGCCTGAGAGTGTCCACAGGGTTGGGGGGACGGATGTCCTCCCTTCTCCCTTCTAGGTCACTTTGGAAGATGCCCCTTCCCCTCATTAGGGGTTCCTCCTCTGGAATTACAGCAATGTGGTCAGTGAGCGATGGTGCCCGTTGACACTCTAAGGTGGCCTTGAATAACGGGCTAGATGGTCCAAAGACCATCATTATCCTATGAGCAACGGCTTCTATGCCAGTCATGGTGAGTTTTTCCATGCGACCTTTGCTCCTTATTGAAATAGCAGCCAATTGGTTATCTCCAACTCTAGAGGAAGATACTTAGAAAGAGGGAGTAGGGGCGCCTGGGTGGCTCAGTCGGTTAAGCATCTGACTTCGGCTCAGGTCATGATCTCACGGTTCTTGGGTTCAAGCCCCACATCGGGCTCTATGCTGACAGCTAGCTCAGAGCCTGGAGCCTGTTTCCAATTCTGTGTCTCCCTCTCTCTCCTTCCCCTGTTCACGCTGTCTCTCTCTCAGAAATAAATAAAAACATTTTTAAAAATTAAAAAAAAAAAAAAAAGAAAGTGAGAGTAAAAGAAATTAACATAGAGAGGATGTCTTCCTGACCTTTGGAGTGGGCAAAAATGTCTAAAACAGAACACCAAAAGCACTAACCACAGAAGAAAAAGTGATAAGTTGAGTTTTAGCAAAATTACCACCTCTCTTCATCACAAAGCACCATTAGAAACATGAAAAGGCAGGGCGCCTGGGTGGCTCAGTCACTTAAGCATCCGACTCTTGGGTTTGGCTCAGGTCATGATCTCACAGTTTGTGGGATTGAGCCCTGAATCTGGCTCTGAGCTGAGCACAGAGCCTGCTTAAGATTCTCTCTCCTCCTCTCTCTGCATCCCCCCACCCCAACTTGTGCTTGTGCTCTCTCTCAAAATAAATAAATAGACATTTAAAAAAAAAACACATGAAAATACAAGCCTCAGACTCGAAAGAAGATATCTGTAATACATATACCCAACCAAGTATTCATTTTCAGGATTTACCACTGTAAATCAATAAGAAAAAGACAAGACCCCATAAAAATTGGATGAAAGATTTAACAGACACTCATAAGAGTGTATATCCAGGTGGCCAAATAAACTATAAAAAGGTGATCAACATCATTACTCATGGGAAAAATGCACATTAAAACCACAAGGAGATACCACTACACGCCCACCAGAATGGCCAAAGAGAAAAGAGTGACAATACCAGGTGTCACTGAAATGTGGAGCCATTGGAACTATGACACATTGCTGTGGGGAGTGTTGAAATGCACAATCATGTAGGAAAATGGGTTGGTAGATTCTATTCCAGCTAAAGATATGTCTACTTCATGGCTCAATCATTTCCCTCCTGGGTACATATATCTAAGAGATATGATGACACAGAGCTATGTACAAAAATGTTCAAAGGCCCTGTCTCCAAACTTGAAACACCCCAAATTCCCATCCACTAGAAGTTGAAGCAATAAACGGTGGTATATTCATACGGTAGAGTATACACATCAGTGAGAGAGATTACATGTTAGAGGATCATTAATACGAAGTTCAAGAAGAGGCGAAGTTAAAATATGAAGAGCAAAATCAAGTTATATCTGGTGGAGGTATGGACTGAGAAGGTTCATGAGAGAACCTTGTGTGGTGCTAGAAATATTCTAGGCTGGACTGGGGTGCTGCTTATATAAGTGCATATCTATGTAAATGATTATCACGCTGCCCATTTAAGATGAATGCATTTTATTTTATTTTATTTTGTTTTGTTTTATGTTTTAATTTTAATTCCAGTTCATTAACATACAGTGTTCTATTAGTTTCAGGTGTACAATAGTGTAATTCAACACTTCCATATGTTACCCTGTGCTCATCACAAGTGCATTCCATATGTCCTTTACTATATTTGTGTTATACTTTGATTTAAAAAAAAGGGGGGGGTAGTTCAATTGATTGAACATCCAACTCTTGATTTTGGCTCAGGTCATGATCTCATGGTTATGGGATTGAGCCTGGAGTTGGGCTCATGGAGCCTGCTTAAGATTCTCTCTTTCCCTCTCTCTCTCTGCCCCTCTCCCCCCGGCTTGTGTGCACCTGTGCTTGCTCTCACTCTCTCTCAAAAACAAAGCAAAGCAAAAACAAAAACAAAAAACATTGAATGGGGAAATTTTCCATGAATTTGTTCTAGTTGGGAGAAGAAGTTCCCACCCATGTGCTCATCGTAACTGTTCCGTGTCGTAAATTCTCTGAGAAGGACATATGAACATTGGCCACAGCAGTGAATATTGTGAGCCGAGCCTGAGCTCCATCTCTTTTCCTCTGAAATTGGGAGGCTCGCAGGCAGTTATTTAATTTCTCAAAGTCTTTTTGTTTCCTTGTCTGTAAAAAGGGGACTGTGGTACTTACCTTACGGTTTCATCATGAGGGTTGAATGAGGTCATACCCAAGAAGCACTCAGTCCAGCACCCAGGTCATAGCAAGTGCTCAGTAAAGGATAGGGTAGAAAGGGCAAGGTCAACACTGAATTGGTTCCACCTAGGCCTCTTAAAGAGGCTTAGCACCTTTCTCCTTGAAACGATTTCGCACATGTTTGGGAAAAAAAATTACATTCATGTTTTCTCCACAAAGGAGAGATATTTTGTGGCTGGGGTGGGGGGAGATCTCAGTGCTTCAGTAAGAGGTGGTGGAGGGAAGTCATTTTCAGCTGGATTAGGCAGAGAGAGGTATTAGCTGTTGGGATTTTCAGCAATGAGAAAGATTTTGTCACAGAGAGAGGACCAGGAAGGTCATTCAAATTTGGGGGTTGGGGGAGGGAAGTGGTACCCGGCGGGCAAAGGTGGAGTCTGGGACTGGTGAGAAATCTTGGATGGTGGCTAAGATTTTGGAGGAACCAGTGGAGGATAAGGTTGGAAAGGAAGACTGGCTCCAGATGAGGTTCCCTTCCCCTAAGGAAGCTGGATCTTTTCTTCAGGAAGAGGAGCCGCTGACTGTTGCTGAGCAGGGAAGGTGCAAGATGAAGCCGAGACGTACAGACCCACAGAGGAGGTCAAAGTGACTGGGCCTGGAGGCCACTGAGGAGGGAAACATGCAGGTTCAAGTGGGGAGGAGTTACATGTGTTCTGGGCAGAAGCAGAGGGACGGAAATGAAAGGTTAAGTAGATGCGGAGAAGGGGAAAGGACTCCTGAAGTCTTCTTGTCGATTTCTTGAGTTTACGAAGCAGAGAGGAGGTTGTCTCAGGGATGATAATGAAAGGGATTTCTCAACGGTTCGATTGGAGGGGGTGCATCTCATCTCTTCCTGGGCCCTCACCTTCAAAGTCTGCTATTTGCATGTCTTCAAGAACACACTGTCCTCTTCCGGGTTCAGGCTTGTACGGGGCACCCAAAGAACGGACACAGGCTTTCTACAAACTTCCTTTCCACCCTCGCCGCCTGGGAACCACACGGAGGGAGGTGTGTCAAAACAAAAACTGAGCCAACAGCAGAATCCTTTCCAAACCTACCACTCCCAAAGACAAGAGTTCGTTTGGATGCTCTATCAAGGGGTCGGAAGGGTCCTTCCGCAGCCTGTGCAAAGCTAACGAATGGCCTCCTGATTTTATGGAGATGCAAACGGTGTTTTGAATAAATATCCCTTTGTTATTGTTGTCTTACAGGGCTGTAGCAGCGGCCAGGAAGAAAACCGCCCCCTCTGAAAGTTGTTTTGGTGACTGTTCTTCAGAGCATTGTTCTAAAAATGGGAAATTACATATTGCTGTGCCAAAGGAAACAAACACCTGCAGTTAAAGGAATACCTTCCACGAGGTGGCTTTCAGAGCCCTAGCCAGTTCTGGAAGCAGGGGTGCTACAGAAGTCTCACTTGGTGCTTTTTTTCACCTTTAAGGGGATCGGGTGCTTACACCTTTGTAACCAGGGTGGGCTTTGGTGACGACAGGTCTCTGGTGATTGTCTTTTACTCATTCACTCAATAAACATCTGTCGAGCATCTCTGCTGGCTCAGTGTTGGTGGATTTCACTACTCCCTTTACTGGTATTAAACATCACCTAGAGAGTTGGCTACAGGCAGGTGAGAAATCTTGGTGAGAAACACAAAAAGTGGGTTTTTTGGTCAATATTCAGAGTCAGTGCACGGCTTCTGCCTCTAAATGGTGAGCAGCTAGAGAGAATTCCAGCATGTTCCCTCCTTCCTCTTCTCTCCCTCCTTTCTCCTTTCTACTTTATTGGTCTACGAAAATAAAAATGCTGTTCTTAACATGTCAGCCAATACATTTCTTTATGCATACGATTTTTCAAACTTCCCAGTTACAGGGACACATACAGAAATTCTTGTTCTACGGTTTGAGACATCAAAAGGTAATTTTTTTTTGTTATCTGGTTAATAGATGATGTTTATCAACATTGCTATAACTGCAGAATAATCAGGTCTTGAAATTCATCAGGGGTAAAACGAATACATTTCAGACAGATTTGCGGCTTAGAGAGATTCCAGTTTCATAAGCTGATCTCCTCGCAAGAAAGACAGGAGTAAGGGGAAACAATGAATTTCAAACTTTTTGGAATGCGTTGACTTTGGTTAGAGCTTGCTTCCTGTGAGTGTGTGCATTCTTCTAAAGGGTTAGCCAGAGAATGATGGCAGACCTTCTTTGGGAATCGGGCTTATGTCTCTGGGACCACTTGGTTACTGATTTGGTCCCACCTGGAAGAAGAGAGGTGGGGATTAAAGGGTTCTCTATGTCTGTAACGTGCTTAATCTACTGTCTTCATTTCCACACGCGTCTCAACTTTTTCACGAGAGGCTCAAAAGTAGGACCCTGCTGTACTGGATCAGAGGATGCAGACTCATATTTGAGTGAGTTTATTGCCCTTTGGTTTACCTGGATTTCTTTATTTCTTCAATGACCGGCAAGAGAACACACGTTTGGGTCACACCCTCATGGGGCTCATGATGCAGAGAAGAAGGCAGATACAAGCGAACATGCTCTAGCCAGATACGCATACGACAGAGTCTAGATGAGATGTAGCGGTGGTAGAGAGAGCCCCTGGGCCTAGGTGCATGGGGGTCAGGATGGGAAGAATCCAAGAGCTGAGTCTTTTTTTTTTTTTTTTTAAGTTTTTAACGTTTATTTATTTTTGAGATGAAGAGAGAGCATGAATGAGGGAGGGGGAGAGGGAGACACAGAATCTAAAACAGGCTCTGTTTTTAAACCGACTGAGCTGCCCAGGTGCCCCTCCCCCCCAAGAGCTGAGTCTTAAAGGAAGTGTAAATGTGTTAGATGTAACAGATAAAAAATACAGGATGCCCAGTTAAAATTGCATTTCTATGATTTAAATATCCTTATGGCCCAGATATCGCATAAGTCATGAAGGGTGGAGTGTGGATCTTCAGGTGAACAGGGGGCAGGTGACTCAGTGGGAACTGTCTGCAAAGGTGTGGAGCATGGGATAGGTGCCTGTTTCAGATAGAAATGTGTATGCCTGGGTGCCTGGGTGGCTTAGTCGGTTAAGCGTCCGACTTTCGCTCAGGTCATGATCTTGCGGTTTGTGGGTTCGAGCCCCGCATCGGGCTCTGTGCTGACTGCCAGCTCAGAGCCTGGAGCCTATTTCAGAGTCTGTATCTCCCTCTCTCTCTGACCCTCCCCTGCTCACGCTGTCTCTCTCTTTCCTAGAAATAAATTTAAAAAAAAAAAAGAAATGTGTATGCCTCTGAGTCACACAGGTAAGTGTCACCTGAGGAAGTCCGCCCACCAGGAAGATCCTCTGTTCTGGGCTGGCGGCATCCGATTTCCCTTTTGCTCTCCCTTTCTTCCATTTGTCTGTCTTCCATGGACCGCACACTAGAGGCTGGCCAGGGAGCAGATGAGGAGGGGGACTTTGGTCTTTCTCAAGGCTTTGTGGCCTCAGAACCTGTTTGAGGGAACAACATGAGAAGAACCCCATCTCTCAGAAGAAGCTGCGCACGCAGCGTCCAGACCCACAGCTACAACCAGAAGCATATTTATTAATTTGCTGGGAGAAATGTCTAGTAGACTAGACGAGCATATTCTCCCCCTGGGGACAAGTTACAAAGGTTGGGTGGTGAGCAGAGATAGTCTGAAGGGCCTGGTTGAAGGGACCATGACCCACAAGGCTTGTCGCCGGTGGAAGCTGGAATATTCCTCTGTTGCTCCTTTATCCTGCTCAGGACCCACCTGTCTCTCCGGCGCCACTGCCCCTCCCTCCTCTTTGGCACACCAGCCCCTGCTGTTCACCCAGCGGGGGCACAGGACGTAGGGTTAGGTTTGCACTGTTTAGATGACACCCCCATTCTAGCCCCTCCCCCTCACATGACTCCCGCGTCCCCTTGGTGGAGTACAGGATGTGGCAGAATCTTTTCTCGTGGTTGGAGACAATCTCTTGGTTCCTCCCATCCACTGTCTGCGAAATTTGCCAGCCTCATTTGGAGGGCCACCTTATTTCCAAGCCTTGTCTGATGCTGCACCCTCAGAGCAGAAGGGGGGAGCAGCGGGACTTGAGACCAGAGCCACAGGCAGCGCCAGCCTCCAAGGAGGGCCTCCGGGGCCTGGTGAGGAGGCTGGACTTTATCCTACAGGTAACTGGTAGCAGAGAAGGGTTTTAAACAAAAGCATGGCGTTTCTGTTGGGTTGCTGGCAATCACGGGGAGAATATTGTGGAGGGGCAAGACTGAAATCTTAGAGACCCTTTGGAGAGGACGAATAATGATTTTCAAAGATGCCCACGTCCGAATCCGCAGAACTTGTAAAGAGGTTAGGTTACCTGGCAGAGGGGAATGAAGGTTGCATGGGAAATGAGGATTACTGATCAGATGATATTAAGATGGAGAGAATGGCCTTGATGCCAGGGTGGGCCTAGTGCAGCCACAAGGATCCTTGTGTACAGAAGAGGGAGGCGGAGGAGGAGACAGGAGCCAGAGAGAGCATCGAAGAGGCTGTTGTACTGCTGGGTCTGAAGGGAGGGGAAGGACCACAGGCCTGGGAGTGAAGGCGGCCTCTAGAAATGGGAAAACAAGGAACTAGATTCTCTCCTAGTGCCTTCAGAAGGAGCATAGCCTGCTGCCAACTTGATTTTTAGCACAGTGAAGCCATTTTGGACTTCTGACCCCTAGACCTATGAGATCACAACATTAAAAAAATTTTTTTTAATGTTTTGTTTATTTCTGAGAGAGAGAAACAGAGTGAGCAGGGGAGGGTCAGAGAGAGAGGGAGATACAGAATCTGAAGCAGGCTCCAGGCTCTGAGCTGTCAGCACAGAGCCCAACACGGGGCTCGGACCCACGAACCGTGTGATCAGGACCTGAGCCAAAGTCAGACGTTTAACCAACTGAGCCACCCAGGCGCCCCCAAGATCATAATTTTTTAAAAATAGTTATTTTTGGGAGAGCACAAGCAAGGGAGGGGCAGAGAGAGGGGGACAGAGGATCTGAGCTGGGCTCTGCACAGACAGGCTGGCAGCAACGAGCCCGATATGGGGCTTGAACTCCCGAACTGCGAGATCATGACTGAGCTCGCTGAACGCTCAACCGACTGAGCCACCCGGGTGCCCCTCAGATAATACATTTTTTAAAGCCACTAAGCTTCTGGTAATTTGCTACAACAGCCATAGGAAACTAATTTGGGGTCTATTTGGAATCACCCAGGCTACAGATGGGGAGGGCCTGCTATTGGCAATAGGAGTAGCAAGCAGGAAGGGGACAAGTTCAAGGTAAACTGAGGAGATGAACTCAGAGACTGATTGGACACAAAGGGGCCTGGGGCAGAAGACCCTTTATGCCCAGCAAGGCAGCCCCCCACCTGAGCCTCCACCCTGCACAGGGCTGAGTGGAGGACCTCTGAGGGAATTCTAAAGGACATGCCTCATAGTGACACAGGATGGTCAGGTGGCATGGACACAGAACCTGCGATATTTTAGGGGTTAACTTGACTTTCATGATAGGCTAGGAAACTATTCACTTGGTGGGGAACAAGTCCGAGTTCTAAAACCTGACCACAGCAGCTGCATATGTTGTGCTGAATCTGTTTTCCGATTTTTTTTTTTTTTGCATGTACTCTTGTTTTATAATTTTAGTTTACTCATGGAAATATGCTGGGTGGCTTACTACTGATGACTCATCCTCACATTGTCCCATGTGCCCGTCAGTGTGTTCTGTATGTGCCTGGAGGAACATTCTCTAATTACATGTTCAGAACGCATTATTTGCTCTATTATCTATCATCTAGCTGAAGCCATTTTCAGTGGCAACCACCTTACAGTGAATTACTACCCACCGATCAGTTGGCCTTTACCATCAGCGTGCCTTGCATCAGCCGTAAACTAGATATAATTTTATCCACATCATCTTGATCACGTTGATGAGGGCTGGTTTTGCTTCCTCTTCCTGTCTTGTGAGTCATTTATAGATTTTTCTGCCAGGCTAACCTCAACTGTCTCATGTGTTGAGGGCGTAAAACTGCAGCTTTCCTATCCATTGGTCAATTCAGGGTACACACTGACCTACGGTAAGGGCAACCCTGGGGTTTTGCAGTGTGGCCAGGGGTTTGTTAATTACTGCTCCTCTTTTCTTCAAGAGTAATCGCTCCTTTGTTGGCAGATTCTAGGGGCAACAGACTCTTTTCTTTTTTAAATGTTTATTTATTTTGAGAGAAAGAGAGAGAAAGAGAGAAAAAAAGTATGAGCAGGGGAGGAGCAGAGATTGAGGGAAAGAGGATCCCAAGCAGGCTCTGTGCTGCTAGATGTGGGATCTAGCAGGGCTTGATCTCACAGTGAAATCATGGCCTGGACTGAAATCAAGAGTCAGACGTTTAACCAACTGAGCCACCCAGGCGCCCCGAGACTGTTTTTCAGAGACCATTTTCACCCAGATTCACTCTTCAGGTGACAATGTGATCAAGAAGTATAGTCTTGCCCCTTAGGCTCAGCAGGGGAATGAACACCAAAACTAATGTAGTGCTAAGAACAGATATATATATAGA